ACTTGTTGGCTCGTGTGCTCTCTCCCGCGAGGAGTTGAGAGCATCAGGCTGAGTAAATGAGGCACCGCTGTCACAAGTCCCGTGAAGGGGTCAGGGAAATATCCTGCTTCATAATGACTTATAAATAAATGATCAATGGTTGTGGAATAACAAGGTATATTTGGTGTTATTTCAACTAAGGGGAAGCTATTTCACACTTTTGAGCACATTTGATAAGAAAATTAGTTATTTTTGTTTTAACTGTAATCAGTAAATCTGGATATCTTTTGTGTTAGCTTTCTATTGCTGCTGAAACACACTACCATAGACTTGGGGGCTTCAAACAACAGATATTTATTATCTCATATTCTGTAGATCAGAAATATGAGTACAGACTTCACCAGACTAAAATCAAGGTGTCAGCCTTCCTCATGCATTCCTTTCTGGAGGTTCTAGGAGAGAATCCATTTCGTGCTCATTCATTCAGATTGTTGGCAACATTTGGTACCTTGATGTTGTAGAGCTGAAGTTCTTGTTTCTTGCTTCCTGTAAACTGGAGGTCATTCCCAGATTTTAGACACCACTACATTCTTTAGTTTCTGCTCTCAGTCCCCCATCTTTAAAGGTAGCAAAAGCAGACGGCATTTTTTTCGTGTTGAATCTCTTGGATTTACTCTTGCCTTTCACTTCTACTTGTAAGGATTTATGTGATTAGACCGGGCCCATCTGGATAATCTAGGATAATCTCACCATCTCACGGTACAAAAACTTAATCACCTCTCTGAAATCCCTTTTGCCAAGTAAGGTAGCATATTCGCAGGTTCCAGGGGATTAGGGCATAGCCATCTTTGGTAGGCCATTTTCCTGTCTACCACACCTTTTATGTCTGTTCTCTTTTCCCAAAATGTTGTGCCAGTTGTACCCATTGTAGAGTATGAGATAAAAATTTTGGCCTGACTTTCCTTGTTTGTGATATCTGAGAATTAAACTCAGTGAACTTTAAAGTAGCTTCTAGCTCTTAGTGTTCTAGAATTTTATGAATTCTTATGTTGGAGACACAGGAAGTGAACCTAATGATCAATGTGGATATTATTGTTATTTTCTATTCATGGATTTTTCTGGAGTGTAGATTTCATATAATCCTGGCTAACTCCTTCCTTCTCACACTTGGTAATCTTCTTTGAAGTCAGTCAATCTCTGCAAAAGTTGACTTCTTCAGAAAGAAATTGACTTACCTCCTCAAAACTGTAATAACTGGTCCCTTGAGATTTTTTATCTACTTATTATTTACTTTACAGCTTGGGTATAACTTTCAGCAAGTCTTTGCTCCATTTTTTTCTTCTGCTTTATTGATTTGGTCTAAAATAAATTATTTTATCAATTTTTTAATAAAGCCAATGGTACTTGTACCCAGGCAAAATAAATCTTTGCCAGAGTTTTAAAAGATATAATGCCTAAGTTACCATTAGGAAATATATTAATTGATTACTTTTATATTTTACTCACAATATCAGCTCCTCTAATCCTTAATTTGCTTATGTAGAAAATGGAGAAAATGTTAGTACCTAACTTCTGGAGTTGTAAAAATCAAAAAAGACCATTCAAGTGAAATGCTTACCTCAATAGCCAACATGTAAACCACTAATATTGTTTTAGTAGTAGTAGTAGTGGTGGTGGTGGGGGAGGTGAAAAACTCATCCTAAATTGCCCAAGGCATTGAAAATACAGCTTCCTGGAAAACCTTTCAGTTCCAGAAAAACCACTAGGGGTGGTAATATTTAGAAACAAAGCTAAATATAAATATTGGCTCTGCCCTCTGCCACCTACCAACAATTTGACCTAAAGGATATTATTTAATTTTTCAGTTGCAATTTTCTTATCTAAAAATATACATGAGGGCTAGGTAAGTAAGGGAAATGCCTAACAAAATCCTTGCACAAGTAGCCTAAACAGTAGTACTCTTATTCCATCTCCCTAAAAAATCTTTATTGGCTTCCTTCTGCTTACAGAATTAAGCACAAAGTAAAGTTTACCAAAGTTTTGCCTAATGCATCAAGGTCTTTTAAAATCTGTTTATAACCTGCCCTGCCAGATACATATGCTATTATGTTCTTTCCATTTATCAATAACAATAATATTAATGATGATTATGATAGATAATACTTTTCTAGTGCTGTCTACGTAACAAAAAGAGTGCTAAAGACTTCATAAGAACTTTAACCAGAGTCCCAGAACTCCCATTTCCTGCACACTTGACTTTCTTATAGACTGTTCAGCCTTTGCCCACACTGTTTCCAGCAACTGCACATTCTTCCTGTTTATCCTTTAAAATCCTGCCCGAATGTTGCCTCTTCTATGATGTGTCCCCAGACTCCAAAGGATGGGAGTTTTTCTCTTTCCTTCATTGACCCCAAAACAATTGACACATGTCTTAGCACTTCCTACCATGGTACTTTTCACATTACTTTAAACATTTTTAATGTATCTGTATCCTTCACCAAAAAAGACTTACTTACATTCCTAGCACAAGGCACAGGACTGAGTTTGCTTATTTGTGAAATGAATGGAAGATTATGGTTTTGGAAAATCAGTTGATTTACTTTATACTAAAAGATTCTCTAAAGAATGTAAGTGATCACCATCTATTTTTTATAGTATCTATGAAATTATTATAAAAGCTAATTTACTGTGTCAAAATTCATAGGATACTAAGAACTATGAAACAAGGTGATTAAATAATTTAAAATAATTATTTTTCATGAAATAAGATAATCTGGGAAAAATAGGCCAGGTGCCTGTTTGAAATCTATTATTTAAAATCGGGAAAGAGTGATGTTACAAATAAGTCACTGAGTGCCCCTGCATAGGCTTCCTGAAATGGTGGACTCCCTCCTCTGACTTGTTCTGCCTGGGCCTGGAGAACTGCAGATCCTTTGGGGTTTAGTTTAGTTTTGTTTAGTTTTGTTTTGTTTGAGACAAGAGTCTAGCCCTATCACCCAGGCTGGAGTACAGTAGCATGATCTTGGCTCACTGCAACCTCCACCTCCTGGGTTCAAGCAATTCTCCTGCCTCAGCATCCCAAGTAGCTGGGATTACGGGCATGCACCATCACACCTGGCTAATTTGTGTATTTTTAGTAGAGACCGGACTTCACCATGTTGGCCAGTCTGCTTTCGAACTCCAAGTGATTCATCCACTTCGGCCTCCCAAAGTGCTGGGTTTATAGGAGTGAGCCACCACGCCCGACTACCAGATCCTGATCTGTGGATTTATCTGTCAGTCTGATAGTAAAAGAAGAGCAAAATATGTGTCATTAAGACCTAATATTTAATTGGATTTGGATCACTATCATTTCGTATAGAACAAGTTTGTTTCTCCTCTAATCCTATTTTGAAAATCGAAATACAAAATAATGGTTTCTCAGACTGATAGCAATAGGGATAACTTGATAACATTTTTGTCTATATAGTTAAAATATACATAGAATATAAAATTACATCTTTTTCACAAGGCTTTTAGAGAACTTCTTTGTGGTTATCTTTGCCAACTATTAAGATACATGTTTGAAAAATTAAGACTCCACAATGAATCAAAATATAAATATTAAAGATCAAGGTACTAGAACTTATTATACTTGATTTAGTTATAGTTTATACTCTTTGTTTTAATATTTGAAGTAGTTTTTTTCAGACTTTTTAAATCCATCATGTTTGATTTTTCCATTAAATACTATATTTTATGGTAGTTTTTACATTTATAATATAATTGATATTTTAAGAAATGGGTCAGCGTTCATTTTATGCATAGTTTTCAGTATGGCTTTGCAATTAACAATGGATCAGTGTTTTTTGTGCTATCATTGTTGTCATGAGGCAGGTGAAATGGGTTTTCCAGATTCCTGAAAGATTTGAAATCACCAGATTACGTGGAACTCCTCAAGTGAATACTTGTTAAGACCAATTTGGGAAATTTGTGATAGTATGTATCATGTGGAAAAATCCCAAAATGGACTGAGATCTCTTTGGCAGGATCATATCTAGGTGAAAATTCAGTTCAAAAATTACCTTGAGACCCTTGTATTGTACTCTGAGTTGTGGTTTCATGGTGTTTGACATACAGAACATGGACTGGAGAATGATAAAAGTGAATGCCCGTTCACCGTGACTCATCGGGAAACACAGTCTTGCTGAGACATACTTATTTCCTCCCCAGTTTATTTCCAGCCATGTAAATTTATCCACGGAGGTTTACAGATAAATAATTTGGATGCCAAACAGCCAAAAATTGTGACTATTTTGAGCCTTCTATTTAACATGTACACTGAAAATACTTTGTTAGAATTATAGCACTTGTCTCTGTGCTTCTGTGGTTCTCAGAGCAAGGGATGTCATGCTTTAGTTGCTCTGCATTTGAATTTATTCATGATTCCTCTTTTACAGTCTTTCTGGAGACAATGTATGGTGCATCATTAGCATTATTATTATTTCAGTTACAGTGAGACTACATATCCACACTTAGGGGGTTGGGTAAATGTCATTATTCATTCAGAGTAAGTTCTTACTCTAATATAAATGTTGCTCAGGACAGAGCTTTGAAATGGATCCTGATTCTTTAAATTCTTTCCTGTCTGTTTCAGGAAATAGTGAGATCCTGTTGATAGTAAAGTACAATGTGTCTAAAGTTCACTTCTAAACACTCTGCTCTTTGCAATGAAAGTCATCTGCATTCTCTTTATAATTCAGAGCCACAAGAGATCTGTCTAATCTTGGAGATCTGATTCAGTATCATTTAGGAAAAAAAAAAATCCTTGATAATATTTCTACCATTCAGATTAGTGAAAGCAGTAAAGCTTTACAGCTTCTGTCGTCTTAAAAAGATACCATGAGACAGGGGAATAAGGACTTGGATTATGGTTTGGGAGATTTAGTTGTTTGTAAAAATAAAATGATTAGTACAGTTATTATTCAAGTTTTTAATCAACGGAAGCAAATGGCATCTGTTTGTTATCATTCTTTCTACAGAAGACAAAGGCTCAGGTCCCAATGGTGCTGACTGCTGGTCCCAAGTGGTTGCTGGATGTGACTTGGCAAGGAGTGGAAGACAACAAAAACAACTGCATTGTGTACAGCAAAGGTAAATGCAAGATTGTTTCCCTCTCTCTTTGGAAGTATTAAAACCTGAGCATTGCAAAACAGCACCTGAAGAGCTGGAACGGAAGTACAAAGTATAATTTGATCCTCTCTCGTCCTGTTTTCCCATTTGAGTTCCTCTAATGTGTATTTTCAGTAAAGCCACCTTTTTTGTTTTTCTGTGCAACATGAAACAAAAAGGGTCATACCATTAATTACTTAGTGCCTTATACATTTACCTAACTCTGTATTTGAGTGGCTTAACTAGTATCTTTCTCTTGCTGTTAGTATCGGTGATAGCCAGGTTTGACGAAACTCCAAATTCTCCTTTTAGACATTATCAAAAAGTGAAATCTTTCTAAAGTTTAGCAATTTGTGTCAAGGTGCATGGTCCAAGAGGCGCTACATTCTAGCCAGTTTCCGGAAGTCATGTGTGATGAGAGGATAGCTGGAAATGAAACCTTTGCAAAGACAGAAATCTTCCCCCTGGTGATTTCTGAAGGGCAGGAGGCAAACTCTAAAGCGGAAGCTGATGACTTGCAGGGCATTGCCTTTGATTTGCTCAGTGTGACATCAACCCAGACTGCGTCATGTAGCTGCGCCCTGGCTACAAAGGAGCCGCAGCTCCATGATGGCACGTCGTGGGGCTGGCTGTCCATAGCATGGGACCCTCCTCACGTGTGGTGTAGTTTTGGGGCACTTTTCTCCACATTCGAGTCTTGGTCCTAGCTCTGTACTCTTACAGTGAAATCCCTAATCTCACTTCTTCATAAATATTGCAAAACTTTGTGCTTCTCATGTTTAATTTCCCTTGGCTTTCTTTTTAAACCAAATAGACCTACCGAGATCAAAGATGTATTTGCACATTGAACCTAGAAACCATAAAAGCATACAAGGGAACAAGCAAATAAGCACCCCTATCAATATATTAACATATAAAACACTAATCATAACATCAAAGACTCTTAAAAACTTGCTAGAAACAATTACAACTTGTTCCTATAATCATTACAATTTGTACACTTATAAGAGGATTGCCTCTAAACTACCATAAACCTTTGAAAGTTGAAACACCGGAAAGAGGGAATTTGCAAGCTAAAAAAAAAAACCAATCTGCACACCAGGATCTGATTATAGTTTTTTCCTTCTATAATTGCTTGTCCCCATACCCACTAATTTTCTAACCTGAAATACCTGTGGTATGCTGGTGGGAGCGTTCAGCTAAAAGGGATGTGAGATTTTCCCAGGATATGCCAATATAATCTATCAAAGTGGAAAGTATAGGGAATCAGTTTACCAGTGCCGACATTCAGAATACAAAAGAAATACAAAATTCCTGCCTTGGAATGCAGGACCACTTGTTGGGGACAGATTTCTGTTGTATGATATTTTATCTTCATTGTACCAATATAGTACGGAGGGAAACATGGCAATAGCTGGTCCTCATTTATGATTCAAATTCATTGCACTTTTAAATCAGCTATTCTTTTAGTAGAGATGATTGTTACATATTTTCAGTATCCCTGATCCAAATTGCTTGGGACCAGAGTGTTTCAGATTTCAGATTTTTTTTCAGATTGGAATATTTGCATGTACATAATGAGATATCTTGGAAATGAGACCCAAGTCTAAACATGAAAGTCATTTATGTTTCATAAACACAAAATACACATAACCTAATGGTAATTCTATACAATATTTTATAATTTTGTGCATGAGACTAAGTTTTGACTGTCACCCATTGCGTGAGGTCAATTGTGGAATTTTTCACTTGTAGCATCATATGGTGATCAAAAGGTTTTGGATTTTGGAACAATCTGAAAGATTTTGGATATTCTGATTAGGGATGCCGAACCTGTATAACAGAATTGGAATTCTGTATTTAGTGGGGTATGCTAACTTGAGCAAACTTATGTGTTTATGGTTGGCTATACCTTATATCTTTTTTCAATAAACAACTTAGAGTAATTAATAGAAGCTTATTAATTGTTCATTAATTAACTGGTAAAGCATGTATTGAGTCCAACTATGTGCTAACCTTGTACGTTGATGATAGTAGCCACCATTTATTGGGCACACCTTGAATTATCTTCTTGATGCTCCCATGCCAAATTGTATGTGCTTCTCTCATTGCTCTCTATTACCTTATTTCATGATCATGAGTATACAGTTTATGTGTCCAAAAAAGGAGTAAGTAAAAAAGTTAGTTATGATTGCCTGCCTCTTCAATCTACTCTATATTTACTGAGGACACAGATTGTGTCTTAGTCACCTTTCTATTCCTGGTCTGGCATGCTACCTGTACAAGAAAAGCACTAAGTACATATTGATTGGTTGACCAGATAAACAAATGATGAATTGTTGCCAGACACTGAAATAGACATTTCACATACTATGATGATGAACTGTATGAATTGCTGCTATTCAATAATGTTTTAACCTGTAAAGGGTAATTTGGCATTGTTCAACTTACAAGAACAATTGGTTTTGCAGTTCAAATGCCAGAACTGTAATAACTACTGTGTATGCTTTTTAAAGCTTAATCCTTATTTAATAGCTCCTATGAGATAATCAACGTACTACCCCATTTTACAAAGGTAGATAAAAGACTTAAGTAGGGTAAATAGTTTGTCATGGTCACATGGCTAACAAGTGATTGAGTGGGATTCAAGCATACATTTGTCCAACTTAGGGTTGAAGTGATGCGTACTAGAATATGTTCTGTCTGCTTTAAGCTTCAAAACAACTCAATGAAATAGATAGTATTTTCTCATTTTGCACCTATGACTTAGAGAGGTGGCATGATTGCCTGTGATCATAGAGAGCTAACAATAGAGCTAAATTCAATCTACGTCTTGACAGCTCCAAATTCTGTACTCCTTGAACTACATGACTCTGCCTTTCCCTTTACCACTGTTAGATGATGAGTAACAACCAAAACCACTCGGGCTTTTATCCCTAGAAATCACAAAATATATATATTAAAGTGTGGCATTTCCCAAAACGCATTTCATAGAACCATAAGATTAAAGAAAAAAGCCCCATGACCAAATATCATTTATCGTAGCCCTCTTGAAAACTCACAGTGGATGCTGATATTAATGATCTAGAATTATGCAGTAAAAAACAAAAACAAAAAGCCCTGATCATTTGCATTTCAACATATATATTTTTGTTTCTCTACTTTGCTGCAGACTTTTCTTTGATCTTCTACCTGGGGTTCAGAGGACTGAAACTAATTTCTAGTATTTAGAGTGCCTTTAGAGGGAGGAGACAGCTCACGCAGAGCATGTCCCAAAGTTGCATCAATACCTTAATATTCTGGGATTTCACTAGGGATTGATTGGATCATGGAAAATATGACCCCGGGAGGCGCTCCTACTGGTATCCAAACACGCTGGACTGTGGAGTCGTCTGTCTCCACAGTCTGTATGTATGATAACACTCCTCAAAGCAAAAGCTTTTTGAAGATGGAAGGGTTAACAAATGTTAACTTGAACCTCTACAATGTTTGTGGCATTTTCATAATGCCTACATTGTTTATTAATTGGGCCTCTTTTGTTTTCAAGCAATAGAAATCTAACTGAAATTAGATTCTGCCAAAAAATTGTGTGTGTGTGTGTGTGTGTGTGTGTGTGTGTGTGTGTGTGTGTTTTGGGGTAGGTGGGTTCATCTGCTCATATCACTGAGAGTCCAGGGATATTCTGGATGTCAGGAACTGCTTGATTCAGTTGCTCAAACTTTGTTCCCAGACTCTCTCTCTCTATCATGTGGCTCTTCTTTCTTGTGTGGGCATCATTTTCAGATAACTAGTGGCAACTCCAGACTTATTCCACCAGCATAGCAACTTCGGTGAAAAGAGAGCTTTTCTGGGTTTTGTGATTAGAGCACATCACATACCATTCCCTGAACCAATTAATCACTATGACTCTCCTAGGCAGACCATAGTCAGCCTGGGGCCTAAAAATAAAATTAACCCCACATGAGCCACTGAAATGGAGGAGAGATAGTTCCCTAAATAAAACCAAGGATATGCTGCCACAAAAGAGTGGTTGCTTCTTGGGCCAACATCCATGCTCCCATGTGTCACATATTATTCCTAAAGTGTAAAAAGCTCTTATGGACGATGAAAATTAAATTCCTGATGCCACAATTGTATTTATTTGTTTTTTTCCTAAGAACCTAAACTACTTATAAACTCAATGCCAAATCATTATTATAGGACCTGGCTGAGAACCTATCAGTATCTATTTACAAATAGAAGATAAATTGCAGTGTGACATTTTGCAAAAATGCCATGACTGAGATTTTTGATAGTGTTTTCTTATGGTGTGAAAATAGGCCCATTTAATGTTTAACTATTACCATCTAGGAGGCATACTTGCTTCCCAAAGTATTCCTAAATGTAGGCTAGTAACAAAATTAAATATGACTACAAAGTTTTCATTGTCAGCGTGTCCATCACATTATTATAAAATAAAATTGTGTTATATCACTCAGTGCTATTTGACAGGCTGCCGTCATCTTGTTCTAGAAAAAATTTTAAAAGTATAGTGGTTGGCATTAACATTCGAATCTGATGTGCGTTGTTCCTGCCTCACCTACCCCTTGTCATTCCAGAAAGTAATTAGGTCATCCAGACATTGATGGACCAGACCTGTTGGGTCGTCTGTTTTTTGCCATTATTCTCAACAGACTCCAGATAATTCTAATTTACTTATCTCAGTGGAAAAATACTAAAAAGCATAATGCTGAAGTTAAAAGGAGCTCTGCTGGAGAGGAGGGTGAGCAAAGGCCTGCCCACTTACTCTTAAAATCCACTGTCTGTTGAGCACTGATGATCTACTTCTTTACCTTACCTTATTATATGCTATCTACTGTTTGCAAAGAATGGTGACCTTTTCATATGAAAAACAAATAGTATATTTAGAATTTTATGTGTTGAGGGTATTTAAAATTACACCTTTACCATCTTTCATGTGGGTTTAATCACTCAGCTTCAAA